AAATCTTAAATTATGTGATTTAAAACCGAAAATAAACTCAATAAAACAGTGAGAAGGAAACTTTGACTGGTTAAAATAGATAATCTCTCCTGAAAATTCCCCGAAACAAAACATTGCCACTCATAAAGTTAAAATTTCTCAAACATAATGAAGTCATTGCCAAAAAATCCCAAATTATGTGATTTTGAACCTAAAATAAACTAAATAAAAGGGTGAAAAAGAAACTCTGAATGCTTAAAACAAGGTGGTCAAACTTCGTATTTTTGCGTTTCAAACTATTCTACATCATTTCGAAGCAAAAAGATAATCCCTTTTAAAAATTCCTTAAAACAAAATATTCACACTTACAAAGCTAAAACTTCGCAAACATAAAGTCTTTGTAAAAAAAATCGCAACTTATTTGAGTTTAAACCCAAAATAAACTCAATAAAATAGTGAAAAGGAAACTTTGACTGCTTAAAAAAAGATAAACCCTCTTAAAAATTCCCCAAAACAAAACATTCACACTCACAAAGTTGAAACTCCCCAAACATAGTGATGTCATAGCCAAAAAAATCCCAAATTATATGATTTTAAACCTGAAATAAACTCAATAAAACAGTGAAAAGGAAACTTTGACTGCTTCAAAAAGAGTTTTTCCCTCTCAAAAATTCCCAAAGCAAAACCTTCATACTCACAAAGTTAAAACCTCTCAAACATAATGAAATCATAGCCAAAAAAATTGCCAATTATGTGATTTTAAACCCAAAATAAACTCAATAGAACGAAAAGGAAACTTTCACTGCTAAAAAAACATCTCCAAGTAAATCTAAATCCCCAAAAATGTACAGTTTATACAGAGCTTGGTTCGGTGAAGAGAGTTATCCTCGTCTGGAGAGCCTGTCACCCCCAGACACAGTGGTGCGAGTGGGCAACGAGGGTGAGCATCAATTTGTGGCGCACCGAGGTGTCCTCGCAGCGCACAGTGGTTACCTAAAAGCCCTCCTCGCGACAACCGGAAGTTCCTCTTCATCCCGAGACGGTCCAGGAAGTGTGACATCCGTGTCAGTCTCCTCAGTTGGTAAATACCCCGACCCCCGCCTCTCACGAACCCACCCCCTCCCCCTCGACCCCCGAAAAATCCCCCTAACAATTTCAACATTAAACCCAGGTGGTGAAGCATTCGCGCCACTCCTGAACTACATGTACACCGGTCGCCTCGAGGTGACCCTGGACAACATCTACAGTGTCCTATTAGCCACCCACTTGCTGCACATGCCGGGTGCGCTTGAACAGTGCCGAGCAGCTCTTCTGAGACTCCGTGGACCTCCACCACCACCTCCACACTTGCCCTCATCATCTCACTCTAGCACAACTGTTCTGAGACCAGTACCCAACAGACTCGTGGGACCACCAATTTGCTGGCCTCAATCAACCCTCTACTCACCAACCGTCGGACTCACTCATTTGCCTAATCTCCAGTTACCACCTGGATTACCAGTTTTACAGGCTCCAAGTCTCATTCATGAAACAGCAACGACTGCTACTGCATGCAGGTTTGTTGGACAATTTTGTTTGTTCATTTTATGGGTTAATTATATTGATTATTTCCCCCATCAGCCTTCCAGACAATAGAATTCCGGTGTTCGACGTCTCGGGGACCAATCAGAAGAGAATTATATCAATAATTTCCCGTTATTCGGAAATTTTCGCTTTGACAGGTAGAATAACAATTGGCGAATGTACTACAATGACACCGAATATAGTCAGACTAAAATTTCTTGTCCCTTTGAGAATTGTATTTCAATTGTTTTCATTGAGAAATCAACATTGGAAACCATGAAAACCTGTGGCCTGAAATTATGTTTTGAGGGAAAAGAAGATTTAGCTGAACTGTGCCATAATTCGATTTATCGAAATGGTGATATAGCAAATAATCCGACAAATACCTCTCGAGCTTCAAAATTAATCGGAGAAAAAAAAATCCTAAGAGAATTAGAATTTAGAGAGAAAAAATTTCCGCTTCACCCAGCCGGGAATCGAACCCGGGTAGAATAGAATTCCGGTGTTCGACGTCTCGGGGACCAATCAGAAGAGAATTATATCAATAATTTCCCGTTATTCGGAAATTTTCGCTTTGACAGGTAGAATAACAATTGGCGAATGTACTACAATGACACCGAATATAGTCAGACTAAAATTTCTTGTCCCTTTGAGAATTGTATTTCAATTGTTTTCATTGAGAAATCAACATTGGAAACCATGAAAACCTGTGGCCTGAAATTAGGTTTTGAGAGAAAAGAAGATTTAGCTGAACTGTACCATAATTCGATTTATCGAAATGGTGATGTAGGAAATAATCCGACAAATAGCTCTCGAGCTTCAAAATTAATCGGATATTTCCCTCAAGCTTCCCTGCAAATTAACGATCGTACCAAGTTTTGCAGAAAAGTCCTAAGCTATAGGGGAATATCCGATAATTTTGAAGCTTTTGGGGTATTACTACTGATAATTACATTGTTTCTTTCTTATTAGCATATATTTTCACTATGTATTTCTCCCGTATACAGAGAGTCATGTACCAATTGCAGTGAATAAAATAAATGAATAAATAAATGAATTTATTCATTGTATCGATAGTGCATTGGCACAAATACAAGAGGAAAATTGAAAGAAGGTAGATAGGCGATAACTACCAGCCAATCATTTATATTGAATTCTTCTATCATCTATATTGGTATTCTTTTAAGCTCTGCTATGTATGTTAACAACTTCGGATAATTAGATTCAATAAACTGCCCTGACGAAGAGCTTTCAGTGGGTTCGAAACGTTCGGCACAAAAAGAATTTGTTTTTGTGATCCTTTTTATGGATAAATTTACTTAAACCGCATGGATGACCGTCCGTTACGGATGGAAGATGAAATGAATTGACACGGTTGAAATTTTAAAAAGAAAGAAGATGGCAAATAATTGTCAAGCAGTGGAAGAAGATGAAACACGAATAAATAAGTAAAGCCTTAATAACTAACTTGAACGAGGGAATTGTACATTTGTACATTTTTGGAAAACCAAATAAGAGTTTCGATTGTAACAAAAACAACGATTTTTGATAGAATGTGACGGCAGTTCAGGCAAGTGCTTCCAGTGCTGGCGCTCTGGAGATGCAATGAAATTGATTTATTGGATAGTTGATGTCATAACTTAGACATTTTACGATTCATAACGACAGACTTTCTGTCTCACTATTAATTCAGCAAAGAAGTGTCACCTTATTTTGTCATATTCAACATGTGTATTAATTTTGCATTCACCTAGACACCAGTGATTTTAGGAGAAAATGTCAAAAACCTTTTGGATAGTTCGACAAATGATTTGGTTATTTCAAGACTCATAAAATAAGTTCAAAGTCCATTCGTATCATCAACAATTTGAAGAGAAAAGTCATGAGAATTCATGTCAGAGAGGAAAGTCATTGTCTTTAGAAAACTTCATTCAAATCAATGTCATACATTGATTGATATTATTCGTTTTCAGACGGAATTCCCCATCACCCCGACCGCCAACTCCCCAGCCACTGAAGCATCCAAAGAAGTCTCATTCGCGATCAAAAAGTCCAGCATCAAAGAAGGAGAAGAAAGAGCCGATAAAATCATCCGAGTCTCAAAAAGAAGAACCAGAAAAGAATCAAAATCAATCATCAAAAGCCTTTCACCACCCCCCAGAGCCTGACGGAAGAACTTCAGTCCCCTCGGTGGAGTCCTTGCACCAGAGACCCAGTGGAAGAACCTCACGATTGAGCGTCGATCAGGGTTCAACGAGTGTCTCAGGAGTGGTCCTGGACATCGCCTGCTGCGATGGACCAGTCAAATTCCACCGAGTGCTCAACGAGAACTACACAACCCCCGTGGGTGAGCTCTCCACCTACCCCCCGCTACCTCCAAACCTCCCAGAGAGGCCCGAATCAGTCAGCGAGAATGACGAGAATGGCAGGCCAGACAGAAGTTCTGATTCTATTGGTGAATCGAGTGGACACGGTTGTTACACCTGTGAATACTGTCAGCACACCTTCAAGTCTCACTACTGCTACAAAAAGCACGCGAGAAGACACCTTCTACCCACTGACAACGAAACTAATACGAGGACAGATGGAAAACGCAGGGAAGTTCGTTTGTTGGATCTCAATGTGCAGTACTACCCCTGCAAAATATGTGGCAGTAAATTTCCAAGCTACTACTTCGTTCACAAGCACAAAAAAATGTGCCATCCGAACGAAGTGGAGCGCAACTCGGAAGGGGAAAATAGCCAGAGTATTCCGACAACTAGTAACTCGGTTAAGACGTGAATTACATTGTGATTTAGTTGAATTATCAATAAAAGATTTAAAAATTCAGTAGTGAGGGGGTGAAATACAACAGAGCGGAACAAGTCGATTCTGATGAACTGTATAAATACTCATTTGTCTCGATAACGAGGGACTTCCGTGCTTCACTACTGAATTTATGTATAATGATTAAAGAGCAAAATGTTATGGTGCCAAAATGTCTTGTCGTTAGTTAAGGATTCCAATTATCACTCGTAAATTGATGAATAAATTGAATCGAGGTAAAATATCATCTGTTAAATTGAATTGAATGTACATTTGATTAACGATTAATAAGTTCCAGTTATTCCATTGTATTCCAATTGTTTCAATATTTCAAAATCAATAACCCATCGCGACTACCTCCTCGATACTCGGTAATTATTGTTGATTGAATTTTGTGTAAATACATCGAAAATACAAACTGTATATTACACGTGTCCCGGATTACTATGACCATATTCGTGGAAACCCAATGGTTTCGATTATATCACGCAGTAGGAATAATACTGGCATCTGTCCACTTGTCGTGATGAATATTACATTCAACATAGAATCCCAGGGAACGAAATATATTTTATTCTGGTGCAAGTGCAATTTCATCCCAGCAATTAATATTTCATAAATGTCAAATTTGATGTATTTGATGTGTGACTTACCAATTGGGTCAATTGTCTGGGCCTCCTCGTCACTCGTTTCCATTGGTGTTGCATGATTCTCCTTCTTGTCCTTCGTTCTACTACTCGTAACATTCGTCGCTGCTACAGCAGCCTGCTTCTTCTTGTCCTTCGTTTCAGATGTTTGTACCACTGTTTCATTTGCACCCACCACACTCACGCATGAATTACCACCCGAACTTTCCGTTCTGCAAGCAATGAATTTTGGTATTTTAGTGAAAGTTGAATTGAATGGATTTTATTATGTGAATTGTCTCGTGGGACGTTTTAACAGGGTATTTTGTCAGTTGAGAAAAAAATCCGATATTGTGGAGTAAAATTACTTGGATAATTACATAATTGGGGTTTTGTATGGGACAAAAAGCGCGCGTGTTGGTTTAGGATAGTGTTAAAAAAAAAGAATAAAATAGTGGGATTTTTTGTCTGACCAAAATACAATTTTTCAGTTTACAATTTGGTACAAACCATACTTATAGATTCAATCATTTTCAATCACCAAATTTGTGAATTAAATCGCATGAAATTTTTTTTTTCAATTACGAATATTTAGCTTCATTCAAATAACATTTTGCACAGAATTATTATTTTTTTAAACATTCGCTGTTTATAAATAAATCATTGAAATTGTTTAAACTTTCGGAAACATTTTTTTTTTAGGTATGAAATCGATTTCTGGTAAAATTCTGAATATGAATAAGTTTGTTACGATTCCGAACAAATAATTTTTATGGTGGAAAATTAATTTTTTATAAATTATTTATAGAAAATGTTCGAAATTTTCGAAAATTGCAATTTTTTAATTATTTCCAAAAAAGTTTATCAATCTCTCTCCAAAAGTAAACTTTCTAATGTTTTTCAGATTTGGAAAGTGTTTTCCAACGGTTCAATATAGAGATTCAAATTGAGATCTGCAAAGTTTAAATAATAAAATCCTTGTAACGACCCATGCCTCCCCCGGTATTCCCTTCCCTTTCCTTTCAGTTCTCGGGCGACAACCATTGATCGCATCCCAAAAACCCCCCATGCCCCTGCTAGCTCTTACTCTGTTCTCTCTCTCCTCTTTAATTTCTTGCATTCTTTCTTTGGTCATTTTCCTCAGTTTGGCTCTTTCAGTCTTATACATAGTTTTAACCCCTTTCTCATCAGCTCGCAGGTACTTTTTAAGGCACTTGAAGACTTCTGCTCTTTGGAATTTAACTTCATCCCCTAGCCATGCATTCTCATCGGTTTTATGTCCCCCCCCTACCCTCTTTACCATGCCCACGTCGAAAGCCACCTCTGCGATTGTTTCCTTTAGTCGCTCCCATCGCGCCTCTGTATCCTCCCCGTCGCCCTGAGCCACTTGCTTACCCTCAAGAAGGTTGTGGTATGTATCCTTCAGTTGCGATTTCCAGTCTTGGCCATGTTATATTAAGGGCCAGTTGCACCAAGCCCTGTCAGCCAAATAAATCACCAGAATAGATTTATGTTTGGAGTAAATTTATTCCGCAGTTGGAGAATTTAAGGAATTCACCGTAGAGTGCATAAATTCAGCCATTCGGTCGGGAATATCGACTAAATACTGCATAATTAGTGGTATTATTAGTAAATAATGATGAACCAGTCGATACCCCACATTGTTTGGTGAAATACCTTCGATGAACTTTCGATAAAAATTGATCCACAGATTATTCTTGTTTATTGCAACACTTAACTGAGATTTTTTTTAATTGGGCTTGGTACAACTGAGCCATTATCTTTTTTAATATAAATATAACATAACTGGACAAAATAAACGTTTTACCAAGTTGTCTTTATAAGGATTAGATTTTTTCAAAGTTGTTTTCAATAATGCGATTCAAATATTTATGAATAGATGAAATTCGCGTGGCGACGACTGATGACAATGAGATCCTAGGGGCTGGGATCAATTAAGATGATGAACGACGAGTGGATAACCGAACAAACAAATCCCACCCTCCGGCAACTAGTACCCATCGATTCCCATTACAATCATCTCGATAACCGATCATCCTCATTCTTCAATTCATAATTTTCTCTCTTAATTTCTCCGCGATCCACTTGAAACTCATCCTCATTTCAGCATCGATTAGAATATTAGAGTGATTTTTTTCCCTCATTTAATTACAGCGTACCCACAGGTTTGAGTAATGCAATCGTTAAACAGATAACCGAAATGAAAGAGAGGGGTAATGTGTGTGTTACCGTGGCTGTGTGGATGCGAAAACGATGAAGGGGGAGAAACTGACGGGGCAGAGAGGCATTGAGCGGGGATTGTTTGAACAATGATTATCTTCCGGTGGTTGGACACGCGGTTCAACCAATCTCGACGCACTTTTATGCCAATTAAAATGGAACCAGTCAATCGATGTATGATTTCTCAACTTCCATGACGAAAATTGGATTGCCATACAGAGTTAATTCTATTAGGGATGTTAATCTGTGCAATAGATATTCTCGAGATTATTGAATCTGTTCTCTAATATGATGATCACAAATCAAACAGGGAAAGAAATGAAAAGTCCACACAAATGTTGAAGAGTGAGTTGAAACGAATTGAGAATTCTTACAGTGATGGCTATTTTTTATTCAAACTTCGAATAAAAGTATCTGAAAAGTATATGTCATAATTAATTTCAATGAATTCTTTTAGTTTGATTGGGACGATGAAATATTGGAAAATGATGGAGTTCGATTAAATGTAATCTTTGAGGATATCCAAGACCTTTGATTCGATTTTCACTTATCAAAATTGTAAAAATTCATGGATAATCAGCAATAAATAAAATTACGTCCTCAAGAAAACATATTTTTTTAAACATTACAGTAAGAATGTAATGAGAGTTGTTTAAACATTTGAAACATTTTTTTGCATTAAATTGATTACTGGGGAAATTATAAACGAGTATATTCATAATTTCCCCAGAGTTCCCCTGAATTTTAAATTTCAAATATTTCCGTAATGAAGAGGTTTATGGAAATCCAGAGACTTCCATTAGAGTGAATTTCAGAGAAGTGTTTGTCCAAAACCTTTCAACATCCCAGATATTTCCAAAATAATCTGTCCATGAATTTTTGATTTTACTTGATTTTACGTTTTACTACCCCACGACTGAAATAATCGATAACATGACCCACATAATACCTTGAAATAACAAAATATTATTAAAGCATCCACTTTCAGACAAGACCCATCGAGTATACCCCTGAATCCTCAAAATATCTAAAGTATAAATACTCGTAAAACATGAATGAACGTACGATTTAGTGTCCTTCCCCGTCGTAGAATCCCCACTGGGGTCCTCCTTGACGTCCTTAACAGACTCCTTGGTATCATTTTTATTCTCTTTATTCTCCTTGTTAGCTTCTCTCGCCTCTTTGGCGCTCGACGTTGACGTTGTTAATACAGTTGTTGTCGATGTCGTCGTACTCTGGACGGAGGCAGCGGTTGTCACTATTCCCGTATCACTTGCTGTACCACTACTACTACTTGTTGTTACCGATGTACTTGGTTGTGAAGAACTAGGTGTGCTGGTTGTGGTTGTTGTTGTTGTTGTTGTTGTTGTGCTGTTGGTGGTGTATTCGTAGTAGTTGTTGTGGACGAGGTAGTGGTTGATGTCGAATTATTTTGGGGATTCTCTTGGGTCTTCTGTTGCTGCTCACGCTGCAGTCTCGTCGTTACACCTGTCGTTAATATATCTATCGGTCCAATGCTAGAACTACTATTGTTTACCTGTAACAAAGGAAGAGAAGTGAATTAATTGGTGGTTTGGTAGCTCGTTAGTATTTTAAGAATATTCAAATGGTAAAGTTCTTGCAATTGAATGAGTTTAGGAAAAATTTCGGACTTGAACTATTTCTGCTTCTGAATGGAAGTTTTGTAAGCGTTCAAATTTAAGGATATCCAAGTACTTTGGCTATTTTTTCTCCAGTAAAATGCTTTTCTAGTTTTGTAGTCGAGCATCAAAGTTTTCATTTGAGGCCCATATTTATTTTGTCTCATGTATACCCTCTCGGGTTTTTACATTTTGTTCCCCCCTTTCCCCCTTATGAACTACATATATGCTCCAATAGTATACAGCGTTTTACAATATTTTACATAGTACAGCGTACCAACAAACAAACAAGTGTTATTAAATCAGAAGAGAGAAAGTAAGAAAATTATAATCGTACGAATTAAAGTAGAAATTGCCCCATCCTTGGCCGTTTTTCGCTGAGGAATCCAGGGACTTGAATACACAGAGGCACAGGAGACACCCCTCGATGTAACTGGGTGTAACGCCGTTACCTTAACCGCGGGACACGCGAGGCCGCCACCCCCTCGCCGTCGGGCCGGTTGTCGGGAGTACTCGTAGTGTAGGCCGCAGCGCGTGAACTATTTTCCACCCCCCCATCACCTTACAATAAGAGGCGGAGAGCATAGAGAAGGGAGGCTCGGGTAGACGCAGAAGCTTGCCTATCCCTCCTCCATTCCCCTCATGAGTTTCTCCCATTCTCTGAAAAATTTACAGAGCTCCGGAATCGGCTCCCCCCCCAGCAGCTCTATAATTGTCTCCCCTCTTCCCAAAACCCTCCAATCATCCCATATTTCTTTGAGGACCCCCCCCTTAATCATGTCGCAGCTTAGGATGTGCTCCAGGTCTTCCCGCGCTGCCCCACATAGCCTGCAGCTCATATCTTTATACCCCTTATTCCCAGCCCTTCCCAGATTCCCACATCGCAGCCTAGCCCACATTACCTTATCCCCCCAGGTGACCCCCTTTTCTTCCCAATAACAGAAGTCTTCCCCCACCGCGCGCAAAAACTTGTAGTCAGGGTTAAATTTTGACTCCCGTATTTTACGCGAATCCTTGGACCTAACCTTCTCCTCCCCCCTCTCCAGGTAATCCCCCACCTTTTCCCTAAAATCTTTACTCTCCAGAGTCCCTTCCCCCAAAATTCCCAAAAATTCCTCACCTCCCCAATCCCTCAGCGCATCACGTACTTCCTTGCCCCACGCCGTGGGGTTCGAGTTCCCTAATGCCCTGAGTTCCTCCTTGAGAGCAACCCTCACCATTCTATCCTTTTCCAACTTGCTAACTCCCCCCAGAAAGTGTAAGGCTCGGCGCCTGGTCTCAAAGATGAGACTCTTCGTGCCACTCTCCGCTCTCCACAGATAGTCTGGTGTGTTCCTCGTGACCCCCATCCCCATCTTGACCACCCTCCCGTGTACACTTTCCATTTCCGGTCTCTTGCTCAACCCCCATATCTCCGTCCCGTACAGCGCCCCAGATTTCCCTAAGGTGTTGAGCACATACAGCCTACTCTTCAGCGAGCGTAACCCTGCTCTCGTCGCCACCCCCCAGGCTGCATTTACCGCGCGCACCCCCTTCCCCGCCATTTTTCGAATGTGCTCTCCATAGGCATTTTTCGCCGAGAACCAGAAACCTAAGTACTTGAATCTGCTAACGACCTCCACCTCCCGCCCATAGATTTCCCATTTTTCCCCCTTCTTTTTCCTACCCCCCCGGTTGAAGACCATAATCTTAGTTTTGTTCACGTTGATCTCCAGTCGATTTGATCGAAAGTACTTTTCGGCCGTGTTTAGCATGCTCTGCAGTCCCGCCTTATCATCCGCGACCGCCACGATGTCATCCGCATACTTTAGGCAGAATACCTTTTCCCCCCCTAATACCGTGCCCCCTTCGCCCTTTCCTTCCCACTTGTCATCAATATCGTCAACAAACAAGTTGAAAAGTATCGGGCTTAGAGGACATCCCTGTCTCACCCCCCGTACCGTGGAAAATCTCCCAGTGATGCCTTCTCCCGTGATGACTTCGTTCTCCGACACCCTGTATATGGCCTTGATCATGTCGTAGAAACGAGCTCTTATTCCTACCCGCCATATCTTTTCCAATAGTAAATCCCTATCTACTGTATCGAAGGCTGCCTTCAAATCGATGAAAGCAGCATACAGTTTACCCCCCTTCCTCTTAAAGCTGTTCCCAATGAGTGAATTCAGAATGAAGATCTGTTCCCTGGTACCCCTACGCCTTCGGAAGCCGCCCTGGCTCTCATTCAACTTGCCCTCCTTCTCCAGCCAACACCCCAATCTATCGGCCATAATGCTAGCTAGCAGTTTATACCCTAGGTTCAGTAACGATATTCCCCTATAATTTCCCACGTCATTCTCGTCCCCCCCCTTATGAATAGGAAATATGCGAGCCACTTCCCAACCCTTCATCAATGAACCCGTTTCCCACCCCTTCTGCGTTACCTTCCACAGCTCTACCTTCCAATTTTCCGGGAGATATTTCAGAAATTCTCCGGCGATCTCGTCTTCCCCCGCAGCTTTCCCGTTTTTCAAGGCCTTCAGCGCCCCGCAAAATTCAGCGTAGCTGATGTCCCTATCTAGGGCCTCTACCTCCATCCACTCTTCCATTTTTTCCCATTCCCGATCTTCGTCCCTAGTCAGGTCCGTTCCCCCCAAGATATTGCCCATATGAACGACCCATGCCTCCCCCGGTATTCCCTTCCCTTTCCTTTCAGTTCTCGGGCGACAACCATTGATCGCATCCCAAAAACCCCCCATGCCCCTGCTAGCTCTTACTCTGTTCTCTCTCTCCTCTTTAATTTCTTGCATTCTTTCTTTGGTCATTTTCCTCAGTTTGGCTCTTTCAGTCTTATACATAGTTTTAACCCCTTTCTCATCAGCTCGCAGGTACTTTTTAAGGCACTTGAAGACTTCTGCTCTTTGGAATTTAACTTCATCCCCTAGCCATGCATTCTCATCGGTTTTATGTCCCCCCCCTACCCTCTTTACCATGCCCACGTCGAAAGCCACCTCTGCGATTGTTTCCTTTAGTCGCTCCCATCGCGCCTCTGTATCCTCCCCGTCGCCCTGAGCCACTTGCTTACCCTCAAGAAGGTTGTGGTATGTATCCTTCAGTTGCGATTTCCAGTCTTGGCCATGTTATATTAAGGGCCAGTTGCACCAAGCCCTGTCAGCCAAATAAATCACCAGAATAGATTTATGTTTGGAGTAAATTTATTCCGCAGTTGGAGAATTTAAGGAATTCACCGTAGAGTGCATAAATTCAGCCATTCGGTCGGGAATATCGACTAAATACTGCATAATTAGTGGTATTATTAGTAAATAATGATGAACCATCGATACCCCACATTGTTTGGTGAAATACCTTCGATGAACTTTCGATAAAAATTGATCCACAGATTATTCTTGTTTATTGCAACACTTAACTGAGATTTTTTTTAATTGGGCTTGGTGCAACTGAGCCATTATCTTTTTTAATATAAATATAACATAACTGGACAAAATAAACGTTTTACCAAGTTGTCTTTATAAGGATTAGATTTTTTCAAAGTTGTTTTCAATAATGCGATTCAAATATTTATGAATAGATGAAATTCGCGTGGCGACGACTGATGACAATGAGATCCTAGGGGCTGGGATCAATTAAGATGATGAACGACGAGTGGATAACCGAACAAACAAATCCCACCCTCCGGCAACTAGTACCCATCGATTCCCATTACAATCATCTCGATAACCGATCATCCTCATTCTTCAATTCATAATTTTCTCTCTTAATTTCTCCGCGATCCACTTGAAACTCATCCTCATTTCAGCATCGATTAGAATATTAGAGTGATTTTTTTCCCTCATTTAATTACAGCGTACCCACAGGTTTGAGTAATGCAATCGTTAAACAGATAACCGAAATGAAAGAGAGGGGTAATGTGTGTGTTACCGTGGCTGTGTGGATGCGAAAACGATGAAGGGGGAGAAACTGACGGGGCAGAGAGGCATTGAGCGGGGATTGTTTGAACAATGATTATCTTCCGGTGGTTGGACACGCGGTTCAACCAATCTCGACGCACTTTTATGCCAATTAAAATGGAACCAGTCAATCGATGTATGATTTCTCAACTTCCATGACGAAAATTGGATTGCCATACAGAGTTAATTCTATTAGGGATGTTAATCTGTGCAATAGATATTCTCGAGATTATTGAATCTGTTCTCTAATATGATGATCACAAATCAAACAGGGAAAGAAATGAAAAGTCCACACAAATGTTGAAGAGTGAGTTGAAACGAATTGAGAATTCTTACAGTGATGGCTATTTTTTATTCAAACTTCGAATAAAAGTATCTGAAAAGTATATGTCATAATTAATTTCAATGAATTCTTTTAGTTTGATTGGGACGATGAAATATTGGAAAATGATGGAGTTCGATTAAATGTAATCTTTGAGGATATCCAAGACCTTTGATTCGATTTTCACTTATCAAAATTGTAAAAATTCATGGATAATCAGCAATAAATAAAATTACGTCCTCAAGAAAACATATTTTTTTAAACATTACAGTAAGAATGTAATGAGAGTTGTTTAAACATTTGAAACATTTTTTTGCATTAAATTGATTACTGGGGAAATTATAAACGAGTATATTCATAATTTCCCCAGAGTTCCCCTGAATTTTAAATTTCAAATATTTCCGTAATGAAGAGGTTTATGGAAATCCAGAGACTTCCATTAGAGTGAATTTCAGAGAAGTGTTTGTCCAAAACCTTTCAACATCCCAGATATTTCCAAAATAATCTGTCCATGAATTTTTGATTTTACTTGATTTTACGTTTTACTACCCCACGACTGAAATAATCGATAACATGACCCACATAATACCTTGAAATAACAAAATATTATTAAAGCATCCACTTTCAGACAAGACCCATCGAGTATACCCCTGAATCCTCAAAATATCTAAAGTATAAATACTCGTAAAACATGAATGAACGTACGATTTAGTGTCCTTCCCCGTCGTAGAATCCCCACTGGGGTCCTCCTTGACGTCCTTAACAGACTCCTTGGTATCATTTTTATTCTCTTTATTCTCCTTGTTAGCTTCTCTCGCCTCTTTGGCGCTCGACGTTGACGTTGTTAATACAGTTGTTGTCGATGTCGTCGTACTCTGGACGGAGGCAGCGGTTGTCACTATTCCCGTATCACTTGCTGTACCACTACTACTACTTGTTGTTACCGATGTACTTGGTTGTGAAGAACTAGGTGTGCTGGTTGTGGTTGTTGTTGTTGTTGTTGTTGTTGCTGTTGGTGGTGTATTCGTAGTAGTTGTTGTGGACGAGGTAGTGGTTGATGTCGAATTATTTTGGGGATTCTCTTGGGTCTTCTGTTGCTGCTCACGCTGCAGTCTCGTCGTTACACCTGTCGTTAATATATCTATCGGTCCAATGCTAGAACTACTATTGTTTACCTGTAACAAAGGAAGAGAAGTGAATTAATTGGTGGTTTGGTAGCTCGTTAGTATTTTAAGAATATTCAAATGGTAAAGTTCTTGCAATTGAATGAGTTTAGGAAAAATTTCGGACTTGAACTATTTCTGCTTCTGAATGGAAGTTTTGTAAGCGTTCAAATTTAAGGATATCCAAGTACTTTGGCTATTTTTTCTCCAGTAAAATGCTTTTCTAGTTTTGTAGTCGAGCATCAAAGTTTTCATTTGAGGCCCATTACAATGATTTTATTATTTAAACTTTACAGGTCTGAATTTGAATCTCAATATTGAACAGTTAGAGAATATTTTAAAAATCTGAAAAGAAATTAGAAAGTTTACTTTTAAAGGCAGATTGATGAAATAATTTTAAAAGTGCAATTTTTGAAAATTACGAGAATTTTCTATAAATAATCTATAAACAATCAATTTTCTACCATAAAAATCATTTATTCGGAATTGTACCGAATTTATTCATATTCAGAATTTTATCAAAAATCGATTTCACGTCTAAAAAAATAAGATTTCCGAAAGTTTAAACAATTTCAATCATTTATTTATAAACAACGAATGATTAAAAAAATAATAATTCTGTGCAAAATATAATTTGAATGACGCTGAATATTTGTGATTAAAAAAAAAAAAATATTCACGCAATTTAGTTGACAAATTTGATGATTGAAAATGGTTGAATAATCTAGTGTGGTCTGTATCAAACTGTAAAAGATACTTGGATATCCCTATGAATTACGTGAATTACTACAAAAAATTCTGTTTATAACTCAGTAGCGAAGCGGTAAAACAATTTATGTCGACTTGACCCCCAGCTAAGTTTTTCAGAAATATTTCTAAATCTACGAGAGACAGTGAAGTTTTCGTCAAGACCTTTCTTATAGCTGTCATTTTGAACTACAAAAAAGGTTCTGAGAGAAATTCTTCTATCTTCCTTAAATTCCGAGATATTCATCGAAAAGCAACTGCCCCCAGAGCGAAATTTTCTTTTAAGTCACATTTTTCATCCAATCTAAAGCATAATTGGATTGATTTCCTCGTATATCAACTCCTTCATTGGGTCATTTACATAGCTGTACATTTTTTTCTTATATACCTAGTAGTATACATATCCGTCTTATTGCATTCAGAGTTTGTTACATCGGTATTTGGTTCGTTGGAACATTCTCTATTGAGTCACCGCAGGTATTCTCATTTTTTTTGTTTGATTTTTATAGCAGTCTATTCACATGACAAAATCAATGAACTTTCAAAAGAATAATTACAAGTTGTCATTATGGTATTCATTCATCCAAATCTCCCACGGCCGAAGAGAAATTCATTTTTTTTTTATGACATTACGTCGTTTTTCGTATCAGTTTATAATTTGGCATTTGTTATTGGCATTTGTTATTGGCATTTGTTATTGGCATTTGTTAGAAACAAGTGCATAATTGCATTTTTTATAAATGAGTGTAATCATTGTTGCTAATAAATTAACAATTTGCTTGCGAATGGGTTTTCTTTTCATCAAATCTTGTTTCACTATTCTCTTCTTCTATTTTTTTCATGACATAGTACAATGATCAATTGAAATGTCATAAAAATTTTGCGTATTATTTTGTTCTGTCAAATGTTTCTACATTCAGACCCTCTCAAGACTCGAATTCCTTTGATATGAAAAATTCGAAAAAAAATGGAGAACAAAATTTGAGTATGTATATTATTAAGACATTTAGAGAGATTACGTAGTCTTATAATTTTATAACATAAACAATGCAAATAATCCTTTTCGGCATGAGTATTATTGTCTACTGTTCATTTTATTAATTTCACTATTAAACTTTATATTTATTTAAACTGATCCTGTAATTGTCCGTATACTGTTGGCTCTCTCCGAGATAAAAATGAAACCATAACACAAAAAATTGAAAACTTAAATTTGAACAATTGCAAGTCTTCCATTTGGCAGACAAATCTCAAAAAACACGATATTCTCAACAAAATGACAAACGACGAATAAATATTTACCTTATTGTTAGGATTATTTCGAGAGCTACGCGTTCTCTGTCGCGACTTTCGCAACAATTGTTTATAATTTTCAGCTTTTTTAGTGAGGTAGTAATGATGCACGCAGTCAGGAACTGATTTGTGTTCTAAGTTTTGAGCTATAGCTCCAAAATTCTTGGGATGCTGTAGATATTTCTCTTTGAACAATTCATGCTCAACAGCACTCCAAACATTTATCAATTTTCTCTCGCTGTGAAGTGCCTCCAGCTCCTCAGGTTGTAGTAAACCATTTCTATTTTGAAATGCAATTCTCCTTTGTTTGGCATCGAGCAGTAACGGTGGAATAACAGCGTACGAACGCATCTTCTTATCCTCCATCTGGAAAAATGTCATTGAGCAAATTTATTACTCCTGAGTTTCTTCATTAATCGGCATTTTTTTTTTATTTCTCCCCCTCCCATTGCTTCACACTGATCCTTTGATTTTCATTCTTTTACGATAGAGAACCTTTTTCATTCCCTTTATAATAAAAAGTGAAAGAAGAAAATAGCACGTTACTAACCTGACGGGTGGCAATAGCTTTTTTTAACTCTGCCGATACCTCTTCCTGGGGAAATCAGTAAAGGTAGTAAAGGAATCTTCCAGTGAAGCATTCGCAAAGTGGCGTTACCGTAAGTGTTGAAATATAACATAACTATTATATGTAGAGAACCGACAAACGTGAATATAATATAGTGTGTCAGCACTGATAAACATTTTTTTTGTCAATATTGTGTTACACGTGAAGGTGAAATTGTTTTTACTTGTAATGTATAATCAAGAGAACATTTGATAACGTCATTCATGAATTTGTTCTCAATTTTGCTTTTGGTTTTTCGTCAACGAAAGGTTCCCAGCTGAAGCTCTATCCTCACTCTGACTTCGTCCAGTGGAAATGCAGTCAGTGCACTGAATCTCCCGAGCATTTGTCAAAAAATTTTCATTAGAAATAGTACTACAATGAACCAACACAAGCCAAAAATAACGTGAATTCATTGTTTTTAGTGTTTTCTCAAACGTCACTCCACCCAGCTGATGGTATGAATGTTAATTTTTATGTGAGCAATCGCGGGGTGAATATAAAACATAAGCGTGAGAAGTTTTTTACTAAATAAAAAAATTTTTAAAGCGAGTTAGTTTAGCACCAGAAGTTTTTCAGGCTTGGGATAGGCAAAAGGGGATGGGCGAGGTGGGGAGACAGGATCAGGTACACTGCGTAGTGTCATTAAGAATCAAGTAACGTGCTTGTTTCTCTTCACTTTCCCGAAAATGATCTCTCACCAGGGAAAAATCCATTTAAAAGTAATTTTACCAGTTGGAGTGATTCGATCGATTTGAACATTCGAAGATATTTATTGTTTTCAAGATATTCGGAAAATTTTCGAATAAATACTCCCTTCAACTTGGATGTCCATGGGACCTATCCACTGGAGTACTATGCAGAAGAAAAAAGTTTCCATTTCTCAGAACCAAGGTACTGAATTTACTGAGAGTAAGAAACTTAGTTTTAGTAACACCATCCCTGATTCGGTATTGAAAATCTATTAATTTCAAGTAAGAAAAGTAAATGAAGAAATTTTGCATTCGTGAATAAAAAAATTTCAAAAGGAATGAAATTCTGGATTAATTGAATATTAATTTACTGTTGACTGATTATTAATTTCAGAGCAACTAAAATCATTAATTCACGAATCAAGATTGCCTTGAAATAAAAGGAAATGTGTTTTAATTTAAGAACAATTATACTGAATTCCAAGAATTATTGAGCATTGAAACTTTTTTTTCTCATTATTAGGGATAATTCTATTGAAATCAATGAAAATTTCAATCTAAACCCCTATTTTTTTGCTACCTAGATTTCAGAACAACAGAGTTCTGAAATTCAATCTAATAATTTTTTTGGTTCCAAGAAGAAAAAGAGTGTTGTTAGAACTGAACAGTTTTTACTCATAATTAAAAACAATAGCAATTCGAGTCTGCACAGCTTTTGACACTGAATAAAAACAAGTTTCAATGACAAATTGTAATATTTTTCGTAATAATAAAAAAAAATCCGAATAACCATCGACAAGTAACATTATACCGATCGAATCACTTCAAATATCCGAAGCATTGTCCAATGATGATTAATTTCATCGTAATTAAATGAATTTTTCAGAAATCCTTCCTGCCTGACTCAATAAACTCTTCTCAGGTCTTCTTGGGTTCCTCAAAAAAATCAACAACTTTATGGAAAAAATTGTTATCAAAGAATAATTAAAACCGAGTGAAGACTGTTATTTTGTTAAACCGCATACCTCCTGTTCCTGAAGCCCATCCATAATCTCCTCAAGATCAGCCTCGCTCTTGATACGAGCACCAACCCTGTTGAAACGCTCCTTGTCCTCCCGTTGTTTCCTCAACTCCGGGAATACCTTCTCGAAGAATTCTCGATTTTTCGCCTCCTTGGATTTTCTCTTCTGCGCTGACTCTAGCCTCTCGACCTTGCGATGCCACTCTTGAACGAGTATCGCATAAGTCTGAGCCTGTTGTCGATGGAGTGAGGCACGTTCTGAGTGTTCCCTACGTAATCTAGCAATAAGTCGTGTTCTCATGCACGTCTGATGCCTCGTTTTGTTCTCTTGATAGACATCTGTATCTGACGGTTGATTGTACAACGGCAGCTCTACCTTCTGTCCTAGCCTATCTAATAGCCGATGCGCCTCTTCCGCTTTTTTCTGTAGAAACAAAAAATGCATCAAATTCCCTGTGACGTTCAATTTGAATGGAAAAAATTTTTTTGCAATTTAAGAATTAATTTCATGGCTAAGTGAAGAAAAAGGGGAACTTTTTCTTGTTACAATGCACGAAATAATTCCATAGGGAAACCTAGCAAATTCGATAGAAAATTCTACTGGACTTCTGTTGATAATTCTGTTATTTTCGGACAATTCTATCGAAGAATTCGGCGGATTTACTGCGCGTTTTATATGAAATGTCCAATGGAAACTATTTATATTGAAAGAATCAGTATAATTTCATATTTCTGTACAAATTTTTGTATTGAGATATTTTCGACATGAACTTTTCAAGTTTTTTTCACTGTTTTTCTTCTTTGTCGTTAAAAAATCTAACAAAAAAACTTTGATTATGTGAGCCGAGAAATTTTTATAAAAAATACCTTAATCGAATAAGTTGTGTATAGAAGAATCAAATTCTATTGATTTTTTTCTCCAGAATATTTTCCATTGAACATTTCTGTTGGGAAAAACGCGCAGATAAGGTACAGAATTTTTCAGTAGAATCAGTCAGAGTTAAAAGAATGTTCTAGCTGATTTCTATGGGAAAAATTTCAAGGTTTTTTTCTGAGATTTTTGCAAATATCTTGGCAATGAGTCTAGAAGAACGTAATTTTCAATATAACATAAAAAAACATTGAATCGAAATTTGTGATACACTTTTTGGATATTCTTATTCAGTGACAGTCTTGTTGAATTTAGCCTTTAAACATAAATCTGGAGGAAACATCGACTTATCAATTATTCCATAAAATTAATCCTCTTCAGGTACACTGGAATTTCTCATCGCCCCGCCGCATTTTTTCTTCATTTTCATTTCTATACGACTGTGTCACTGCACCTCGCGGCATTTATGCAACACAGAAATTTCAGGGCAAGGATTTTTATGTCAATTGTTGGTGTGTTTGCGCTTACATCACTTCATTCTATTGAGACACCTATTATTCCTCAAATAATTATTTATTTTGAGATACCGTTTATCCCTCAATGTGGAGTGTGGAGTCTGTACGTGAAAACATCATTCGATTTTGTCAAATAACTTCAACATAAAAAGAATCACTAAATTTTTTAGGACGGGAATTTTTCAGATTTTTGAAATTATTCTATCTGTTCACAATTCGATAAAATAATCAATGGAAATGTCAACTGTCCCGTGAAAATTAACACGCCTCGTGTATACTGCGATCACTTATCACTCCACAGGATTTTTTCTCTATTGCCATGTCAACACACTAATTTTCTTCAGAGGTTTTTGAGTACTATTGGCCCAGTAGAATCCTCAGTTGTGCGTTAGGTGTAGATCAGGGCAAGGATTTTCATGTCAACTGTTGGTGTTTTCGCACTCACAGTACTTCATTCAATTGAAATATAAACATCGTTCATTCCTCAATCTGCAGTATCAAGTCTGTACGTGAAAACACCATTCGATTTGTTTACATACGATCAACAGAAAAGAAAATAAATTCAGTTTCTAGACACTGAATGTTTCAAATTTTCGATATTCCTCTAAATGTTCAAATAAATTTTTCGTTGAATTGAACCGCCAAATTTCCAATACTGTGGGTAGCGATTGGATATGTGAAAGTGAGCGTATTTTTCTTTCATCATAGGAGAAATTTATGAGTGTCCTATGGCAATCCTGTGACGTCATTTTTTTGGTCATAATTTGAATCGGTTGGCATTGTCATTGTTGTTTAGATGGAATATAACGGTCACCCAGGATCTATGTAGTTAAAAATGTCATAAAATTGAAATGCGATTATGGAATGTCGAAAAATGTGACGTTTTTATTGCTATTCAGATGGCATATAACTGTTACGTACGATTTGTGCTACAAAATATGCCATTAAAGCCCGGATGGGTTATCTTTCGAACGTTATCTCCATTGTTTTTTCATCTTCATATATCGCAATTTCCATTGGATTTTATATCACGCAGGTGTATCTAAAAATTATGATCATACAAATAAAAATAGTAGAAAACACTGAACATTTGAACTATCAGCTACTGTGAGAAATGACAACCTCACAGTCATTAGATATACTAAATTGTTAATTTGCAATTTCTTTCCTATTGGGTTCATTCCCCAATATTATTCTATTATTAGGAGAACTTATTCGTTTTTGTCTCAGTGCAATGTATAGTGCTCAGGAGGCGTATCCACTATTACATATAATAATAATAATCCGATAAAATTTTTAGTTTCCAATTCTCAATTTTTGTCATTTGTTCTATTCATTCTCTCAAAAGACAGGAACAGAAATCGAATTTATGAGTATTCTTTTATTATTCGAAAAAAATTGATTTTCAAACGATCCGGAGACATTAAAAAATTAATTTTTTTAGTTCTTCCCGCCCACTTTTTTTGCACTTATTGAATTTATTCTCGCTGAAATATTGATATCCCTCTATTACTTGACGAAAAGAAGTGATTCGAAGTTTCCGCCGACGGAAAAAAGAAGAAAAAATGCATTTTCTGATTATTTTTTCATTTCCTTTTCATAATAATAATTGGAATCCGACCATAGGAATGAGGAGTACCGATATTTCTTTACCATATGAAGGTAAAAATAAATTTAAAAAATTTTCAGCAATACATGGAGAGATTTTTCTATTACTCGATTGATATTTCGAATCACTTTTGTTTGAGGTGTTTGCTTTGATCACAAAAAAAAAACACTTTTTATTGATCTTTAACGTAATTTCTCTTCATTCAATGTTATAACTTGTGAATTAAGGAAAAAATATGTATATAATAAGAATACGAATGGATAAAATTAAATCAACCTAATTGTGAAGACAGAAATGGAAATAAAATAAAATAAAACAAAACAGTATAAATTAATCTAGCGATGGGCGCGAAGCGCCCGTTCACTAGTAAAGTATTAATTTCATGGCTGAGTGAAGAAGATGAAAAAGTAAATAAACTTTTTTCGTTGCATTTTGCAAATATCTTGAAAATGAGTTCAAAATAACGTAATTCTCGATGTACCCCTGAGACACGAGCAAATTACCCCTTCGAAGAGACATAATTAAGCTTCGTTTGCCTCAGCAGGTACAATTTTCCATTTCACTTTCCCCGAGATTGTCTCTTATCTCTTAATTCCATTCAACTTGCACGAATACCTCACTATGTAACTCAATTTCCAAGACAGATTAGCCATTTTAAACTGAAATTCATGAGCTTACTCTATTTTCAGCATAAATTTTCTGGGCCGGTGACTGATGCTTCGGCTGCGATTGCTCCTCAACCGGTCGTTTTAATCCACTCGGCTCGAGGGGTTTATTCGCCGTCTCCTCCAATGTCTTGAGCTTTTTCCTACGTGTCGTAATTTCACCCTCCCGTTTAGCAATTTCACGATCAACTTTGCCAATTTGCTGAAGCAATTCATCCTTGGTAACACGAAATGCTGCATCTTCTTGGATTGTTGGCTCGGGTAGGGTAGGTGATATAGCCTCTGTCTGTGGTGTGTAGGCACCTGCTGTCGGCTAAAGATTTTTTTAATCGTTAAACATTTTATTTTATCACCAACTGGATACAGTTGAACATCAGAAAACAGACAGACGATAAGGCAGAACTCTGGGTGAGCATTGAGGGGTTGAAAATCAATATAGTGAGCAGAGCCAACGAGGGATGATGGGGCAAACTGTTCTACCGACTGCTGCCGAGGCTTGAACAACCCCAAAACACCCCCTAATTTACCCTGAACCAGTAGAAAACTTTGGCCCCTCAAAATTACTTAAAAACAAGTTGAAAACTATTTCGAAATTCTCGAAGAAAGAATTTAATGTAAGAAAATGTGGAGAGATGAACGAAAATTTCCAGTCGAGTGAAATCTCGACATGAAAAAGAAAATCCTACGAAGGAAGGAAAGAAAAAATAACACTCCTCAAAGAAGCTTTTGAAAAGGCGATTCCAGGGCACTGGAAAGCCCAGCTCATTTTGCTATCGCAAATGGGAATTTCCGAGTATTTCTCAGTGTCACAGACAGATTCTCCCTTTAAGCCTCAGTAAGTAGGTTTTTCATTTCTCAAAAAAAACTTGAAAAAGAAAGACGTAAGAAATATGACAAATAGATGCTGTGGGCTATTCAAGGATTAATGAGATAACAATATTCCGACTTTATCTGTTCGTAAAACCCACCCGTGTATCTATCCTGAGTGGTTGAGGCAGCTGTACATGGTCCTGTTTAATGCACACATCGGCCGGTGAAATAGTCTGACAGGATGGTTGTTGCTGGGGCTGACCAAGACGTATCTTCTTGAAGGGCGGTGCCTCCTGTAACGTTGCCATTTCCACTTGTCTGCCATACTGTTCAGCAGCGAGTATTGGCATCAGTACCCGTTGATTCCTATTACTCGTAACATGATAATCAGCATTTGTTGGTGATTGTGATGGTGCTACTGATGCTGGTGGTAACAGGGATATTCGTGGACGGTCACCCCGGCTATTCGGAGGATATTCATTAGCGCCAACACCAACACCAACACCCACTTGGGTTACTGGACTACTGCTGACACTTATCGCCACCCTCTCCGATACCTGAATAAAATAATTCATTATTGATTTTATGCTTTGGGGCATTCATTCGGGGGTGGGGCTCGCTGGAGAGCTGAAAATTATTTCACTGAGTCTTGTAGAGCTTTATTGAATGTCGATAATTCCAGACACATGTCTCAGTCATTTCAATGGGGAAACTGTAAAGGGACGAAATAACGATCAAACCTTCATAATCGTTGTGAGACTCAGAACACGCCCACGGCATTTTCGGGGGGTTAACCCCACCTCACTGCTGGGTATCACGCAAATTCTGATTTTTTATTTTTTTTTGAGGATCGTTATTTAAATTTTATTCGTAGCAGACACTGTTCAACAATATTTTGGATGTGCGGGAAAGTATTTGCAATTATGAGGCAACGGAGTATTTGATTTTATCTCTCGGGAGAAATTTGCACATTGAATTAATCATTTTGTACACTTTTAGCTCTTAAAATGGTGTTTCTGTAATGAACGAACAATTTATTTTTCCAAATAAATTTTTTTTATATTAATGGTTGAATAGAGATCTTGGAGGGAAATTTGAGGAATTCATTATTGATGAAAACATTTCGTTTGTCCAAATGAGATTTTTTTTGGTATAGTCAGTCTGGTAAAAAATAAAGTTGGGATTATGTATTGTTGGGAATAGGTATTGTTTTCATTCTCAAATGAATCAATTCAATCATTGTGACAAAATACTCAGGTCATTATTTTTTTATAATAAATGAATTTTATGCAAACCCTCAATTAACGAGTCAGCAAAATAATAATTAACTATTATTAATTATTTTTCATTGTTCTTCAGCAATGGCAAATGAACCCAAATAATGAAAATTTGCCCATTGAATTAATAATTTTGTACACCAACTTTAGTTCTTAAGGATGTTCTACACCCGTTCTGCCAAAATTCCCGTTTTTTTTTTCATTTTTCTGGCAAACTTATGATGGAATTGACGTGAAAAAATATAACGTTTTTGCGTTTTGTCATTATTTAATGACTGACGAAATTTTAAGCTGGTGCGAACATTTTCCTGCGTTTTCTCTAAACTTTTAAAAAGAATCACAAAACTGTAGAAAAAACGCATGAAAATTATCGTACAACTACGCAACTTCGTGAGCCATTAAAGAATGACAAACCAAAAAATCGTTATATTTTTTCATGTCACTCCCATCGATAATTTGCCAGAAAATGAAAACAACGTCAATTTTGGCTAAAAGGGTGTCGAACATTCTTAAAATGCTGTTTCCGTAATGAACGAAAAATTTATTTTTCCAAATAAATTTTCTTTATACTAATTGTTGAATAGAGATCTTAGAGGGAGATTTGAAAAATTTACTATTGAAGAAACCATTTCTTTAACCAAAATGAGAATTTCTTCGGTATATTCAATCCGATAAAAAATGAAATTGGGCTTAGGGTGAACCAACCGGTGTTCGAACCAGACCAGTAATCGAACTAATTGGTACTTTTCCTATAAAATAAATTAGTAGAAGGTAGAGATGCCTCGCATTATACATGAAAAATAAAATTATGACATTTCCAAATGATATTGTGATGATTGAAAATGTCTAAATTACCTTATTACCAGCGGAAAAAACAGTTTTCGATGAGACGCCGCCAATAGTATATTCCCATTACAGAATACGCATTTCGATTACTGGGCTTTCACACATTTTCAGCTTTTTGTATTCATATCATTAATTGTATCGTCAATTAATATCCATAATATTTTTTTCTATTATCTATGGAGATGTATAGGGGAGTTATAATTATTTTTAAATCAATTTTCGACTTGGTTATATTTTTAAATCTACGTCAAAAATAACTGTGACCTTATTCATTCGAACACTGGACGATTCACCCTATCTATTGTTGGGAATACGTATTGTTTTCATTTTCAAAAGAACCAATTCAATCATTGTGACAAAATACTCAGGTCTTTTCATGCTAAATTCTTGTTTGATTATTTTTTTACAATAAATGAACTCCACCAAAAAATTCAATTAACGATTTATCAAAACTCTTCGCCAAAATTTGCGCATTGAATTAATGATTAAATAATCATGATATGAATTTTTTTTTTTTTTTTTTATGCTTATTTTATATCGCTTCGAGTCTGATGAGACTATATGGCGATTGATCAAGACTTTAAAAATGGTTAGATCTCACCATTCTACCCGGCCAGGAATCGAACCTGGAACCTATCCGTTGTGAGGCAACGGCCTTAACCACTACGCCAGGCCACCGGGCATCATGATATGAATGAATTAATGATTGTTTTTTTTTTATGATTGAATTAATGATTTTGTACACTAACTTTAGTTCTTAAAATGTTGTTTTTGTAATGAACGAAAAATTTATTTTTCCAAACAAGTTTTCTTTATATTAATGGTGGAATAGAGATCTTGGAGAAGATTTGAAGAATTAATTATTGAAGAAAAGATTTCTTTAGTCACAATGCGAATTTCTTCGGAACATTCAGTCCGATAAGAAATTAAATTGGGATTGCGCATTGTTCGGAATATGTATTGTTTTCATTTTCAAAAGAACCAATTCAATCATTGTCACAAAACACTTTGGTCTTTTCATCCTAAATTCTTGTTCCATTATTTTTTACTATAAATGACGAATTAAAAAATTAACAAAACTCAATGAACAAATTAACAAAACTCTCCACCAATCAAAAATAAAAATGAAACGAAATAATGAAAATGACAAGTGAGATAAAAAATAAATGAAAAATAGTGGAGAAAAGCCTCATTACCCGAACAAAGACCTGCATTTATAATTTTCATTCTAACGAGACAGTCCATTTTTTTGAGAGTCTATTAACTCAACGCAGAATGGAATGTGAATTGGAATAGGAATACAGAAAACGGAGAAAAACGAGGAAGTAGAATTGACCGTGTTCCAGATATACGAAAAAAAAAATCGAGTACAACGAATGGATGTGGAGATTCTTCGGGGGTTGAAAGTTACCCCCCGAGATGTTCCAACGACCGCCACTGCGACGATCGGGTGTCATGGAAGGGGGCGAGTTGAACGGAGGAGAGGCAAAGTGAAGCGAGCAACGTGAATGCAGGATGGGAGAGGAGCAAGGGGGTGAGCCACACGGGGAAAGACAACTTTCACCCGCCCACGCGAGCGTCCTGCACGTTGTAAACGCCAGGTCTATTAGTTGTAGCCTTACGGCCCACTGTCGTAATGGGTCAGAGTTTTACTCGAGCGCTTGTTCTGAATCTCAATTTCAACTCGTTTAATAAATTTATCTCTGAGAATAAAATTGCCATTAATTCTGACTGACACGATATCATCAATTTCAAGTTCAATTAGATTGAGTTTCTTATATCTGAGAATTTTAAAGATTCATTCGACTTTGAATACTACACTGAGAGAGAAATTTTTTTTTGCCGAATACTCATTCATTACTTGAGAGAGGCATTTATTTTTTACAAATCGTATTTCTGTAATCGGGTCATTCCCACGCGAGCCTGGTTAGGTTTCAATTATGACAATCATTTTGCTCTAGAGGATGACTCCTGCACATGACCTTGAATGAACTCCTCCAATGATTACTAATTTTTCCTAAATTTCTTAGTTTCTAGGGGAAAGAATTTCGATTAATTTTTTAATGTCGATAATTATTGAGGGTGTTTACTGAAGGTCATAACTAATATGATCATCTTCTAGAGCAATATAATTATTATAATTCAAACCTAATGAGGATTGCCTTGAAATGACTCGACTGTAGAAATACTTTAAAAAATACTTTAAGAATAAATGCTTTTTTCAAGTAAATGGATATTTGGCAAAAATAATGTTTTTTCTTAGTGTATGTTCTCCTGAGGAGATCTTTTGGTGTGGAATCAATTTACTTGTGAAGAAAAAAGAAAGTTTCCACCACAACATGATAATTTTTGCAGTAGTTATTGTTCTCGTGGAACATTTATATATCTTTCGGGTAAATACATTCGTTTTACAGAGAATCATGTGGGGCTCCGGTTTTATCAAGTGAATGTTATTGAGTAGTGTATTTCGTCGTCTAATAAAAACTTATGATTTCCATGGAGCAAATTATAATTTCAAAAGGAAACTACAATTTTCTTAATAATAACTGTGTTATTGGCAAAGCTAAATAATTTTGAGGGGACAATTTTTTTTTTTTGAAAAAAAATATTCTTTCTTTGTTAATGGATTCTTTCTATGGTATAAATTTATGGAGTTCTCTCAGATCAAATGACTGCCGTGCAATAGATTAAATTTTTTTCCTGGCAACAGTTCGAATTCTTCCAGAAATATTTCTGATGATCGTGACAAAAATTTAATTTTTGTGAAGCATATTAAATCACTTCAATAAAGTTGGTTAATTTCCCTCAAGTAAATCTGTTCCACTTGATCAAATATAGTTTTTGGGCAGAGGGGTTTTTGTGGTGAAGAAACTCTCATGAGATTGCAAATGATTGATTGAATGGCCGAAGGTTTATCAATGAAACAGGCATTTGCGAGTGGAAGAGTCTCGAATAAAATGAATTTGGAAAAAATAACATTTTTGAGATTTATCGATTTGTTCAATATTCACTGGCGTCCATCGACATTGCAAAATACTATTAGAAATTCTGTCCATAACCTTTTCTCAAGGCAAAGATTCTCTGTTGAAATACTGGACGTCTTTCTTTTTTTTTTCAGTTCTATTTTTACAGGAGTATTTTCGCGTAATGGAGTCCATGAACTTTCAAACAAGCAGTCATCAAACTTTCGAACAAACAATCTCTTGAAGAGCCCTTAAAAGACATAATTTATAGTTGAGGTTTTATGATGTCAATAACGGAAAATTACTGTTTATTCAATCGATTATTTTCAGTTATGCTGTATTGAACTGATCTTGATTTTCTCCATTCATGTAGAATGGTAAATTTTTAATGTTGACCGAAGGCAAAGAAAATATTTTATGAATTTAATTTAAAGAACTGAGGTATTTCGATATCTTCAAGGGACCTCAACTCAGTATTAAAATTTTTAGTGATGTATTGTCCTGCACGGAGAGAAATGTTCAGTAACCATTACAGAACTAACAATTCACTCACCGATTACGGAATCGACTCAGAAAATTTAAGTGATGGTATCGTAATTTCTCACAAGAGATTCAAATAAAAATTAAGGAGTGCTGTGGAAAAATTCCGTGATAATCCCGTAAAATTTCCTACAACCACATTTCGCTCCGGAATTACGGATAGATACGCAATTTTTATTGAATATTTTTCTCCGTATGTCAATAATTGAAACAAAATGTTAATCTCATTGATCATTCCAGTTGTCCGAGTTCCATCTACTGTTTCGAACTGACTACACTATAGATTCAGAGGTTTTCAATCATCAATTGACATTGTTTAACTCATGCATTTCCCCTTCTGATAGCGACAGCTACCTTTAAATGTTCAATGTTGCAAATTGTAAAATGTAAAACGAATTTAATTCCAGAGAATTATCCACCTGGATATTGCAAGTCCTATCGATTATGCTGATTGTTTCGAAGTATTCAACGAATGATGGAGTACGTACATTAGATGTCGCATTTCTGTATGGATCCCTGGTGTAAGCGGCAGCTGCACCGGGTGGTGGTGGGGTTTGATTGACGGGGGCGGATGGTACTGGTGGTGGTTGATAAGAATGCACATATCTAAGACCACTTGGCACCGGCACTGTGACGTAATTACCACCGGCAGAGCCAGTTACGCCAGCAGTTGATCCAGTTCCACTGTTACCTGGTGGTCCTACACCACTGGCTGACGGTGTACCAGTTCCACCCTGTACATAACTACTGACGGCTACAGTGCGCGCTGGTACCGGACTGTTGCTCTTGATGTTTATGTAGTTCTGACTTGGACTGTAACAATAAACAAATTCATTAAAATGAGATTTCAATGAAGAAACTTTACGAAAAAACACAATCACATTTTATTAGTTCTTGAATTTCTAAAGATTCGTCACTTCATGGGATAGACAACATATTCCAGACCTTACGTACATAATTTTATTTCTGTAAAGTGAAATTGTAACTTTATTCTCTAGGTTATAACTAGCCCATTAATGAGCAGAGCAAGATATCTCACAATAAGAGAAGAAAGCGAGTTTTCAAATCAATTCAAGTGGTTTTTGCATTAAACTATTTTAAAATTGAGGCTAAAAAAACTATTAACTCTAGTCTGGTCACCCTGCGACCCTGCGGCTTGGTCACCTCCGGGGGATTCGTCGCCGCGTTATTTAGGCTTCAGCGTTGCCGAATTCACTCTACACTGACCGGGCGCGTTTAGCGAGTTTTTGGCAACGTCGCGTCATGGGCAATTTAATTTAAGGTACGTCCTCAGTGAGTTATACTTGGTGAAAATTTCTCAATGAACTGAAGACCTAAAATTTGGATCATAGGTTGTTGAGGACATGTACAAACAACTTCCAAAATTTCAAGTATTTTTTCCACACCAATTTTTGAGATATCCATCGTCAAACCTTCAATTTTTGTCTTTTTTAAGTTTTTGTCGATGCATATCTCAAAAATTCGCGTGGAAAAAATACTTGAAATTTTGGGAATCGTTTTCATATGTGCTCAACAACATATGACCCAAATTTTAGGTCTTCAGTTCATTGCGAAATTTTCACCAAGTATAACTCACTGAGGAAGTACCTTAACATGGTAAAAAATAATTCATCTGTCCGAAATAATTTATTTTCTTTAGGAATTTTGGGAAATATGTTGTTTCAAAAACTACTATAATTTTTTAGACACTTCAATTGACAAAGTCATTTTTTTTTATTTTTCCGGTTAGCCAGTCAATTGTAATTAACGAAAAAGGACGTGTGGCGGGGTTTCCCTTATAGGGTGACCAATGGGTGACCTTGGCTTGAGAAATCGCTTTCTTGTCATTAAGAAACTGTCCTTTTCGTGAAGACAGGACAAATTTCTTGACGAAAGTTTTTTTTTAGCGTAAGATATTTTACTATTGAATTTTCAAACCACGAGTTTCTTGATATAAGTAAAGACGTACTTCTCAAAAAACCTTGTTTTTCTCAGTGTAGTGTGTTATTTGTTTACATTGTAATTTTTCTATTTATACGGAGTAATTTTAGTTCTGACACCTGAAAGTCTAAAGCTGGCCTCCCTCTTGATTTTTGTCTAGAAATTACTTCATTTCATGTGGATGTTTTTTTTTTGGTTAAACCTGTCACATCTACTGAGCTAATGTCAGTAGCGAGCAGCAATATGTACGCACTCAACTTTTAGATAATATGGTGCTGCAATTCTTGCAGTCTCGGTGCATAATAGGCTCTTCAACATTTTATTTTTTAATTTTATTTGGTTTGTTTGTACAAATAAATAAAGTATACCCCTGAAAAGAACCCCGCAGAGGGGGTTGAAATATTGGGCGTAGTTCAAATCACTTGATCAATTTTTATCAATTGGACGTCTTAAATTCATTATCTTCGAATCAGTTAATGACCACAGATGCTAATAACTACGCAATAATAATGTTTTTTCTATAAATTCTTATTGATTAGATCGACAATCATGAGATAAATTTTATTCTCCACCCTTTCAGATAATCAGCTGAATTTCTTTCCTCTTCATTTTTTCTGAAATTAACAGCTGTAAGAGAGTACTCGATCATTTAGTGAATAACGAAGAGTTAACCAGCACATCCCAGAACCTTTTCTCAATAATTATATGTAAAAATTCCATATTTATCAGAATGAGAATTATGAGACGAATATCGATCAGGATGAGAATTATGAGACGAATATTATTCTCCACGCAGGCAACTGATTAATGAAATTTTTTGCCTCTTCATTTTCCATAAATCAAACAGCCCCGAAGAAAGTATTCGATAATGAACTGAATGATAAATAGTTGAATAATATATCCTAAACCTTTTTCCAATGATAATTTGAATTGGTTTATTGACAGTCAGGTGGATGTATGGAAGACACTTTTTCAGTCAGATCAGGCTTTATCGTAGACCTGGTATGGGCTCACATTATTTAGTAAAGATTAGTCCAGAGTTGCACCGACAATTTCTCCAGGAAGAATGCTCTCCGTATAATAAATTCCCGATAAATTACAGGGATAGATTTGAGTAATATAATCAAGTTGTTCAAATTTTTTTTAACATTTCCTGATTAATCTGGATGACAATTATGAGAAGAATCTCATTCTTGGACGCTTTAACTAATGAAATTCCTTTCCTCTTCATTTTCTATGAAAGGAAGAAATGTTCGATAATCAACGGAATGACGAAGAGATATACAACCCAACCGACCTTTTTTCAAAAATTATTCTCACCAATTTCTCATTGATCAAACCAAGGATTATACAGTGAATATTATTCTCCAATTAATAAAATTCCTCTCCTCTTCATTCTCTCTCGAACAAATACCCCCAAAAAAAACAATACGATAATCAACGAAATAACGAAAAGTTAATCAACAAAATTCCTGAATTCCCAATCAAAATCCTCTCCACAATAAAAAAAAAACCCACGCATCGTGCGCGTTCCATAAAAAATCCCACACGTACCCCATCCTCCATAAACAACCTAATGAGCGAAAAATCACAAACACGCGCATATCCCGTTCTTTTCAATGTAGAAATAATTTACATGACCCAAATAGCGGATACAACAAAAGCCCAAACATGAAAAGAAAATAACATACGATCCGAACCGAGTACCCCCCCCCCCAACC